TTAAATATCTTGTGGAAGGATAAAGATATAAAGTTAAATCACTGCAGATATTTCATAAACGGTTAATAAGTTATTCACGGCTCTGTATTAGTCTGTACTCTGTAATGTATAATAGGCAAACTGTAATGCTTAACTCAACTGCTGTACAGTTTGCCTGTCTCTATCTCGTATAGAATTCTCCAGTCAGTAAATAGTACTAAATACATCAATCAAATTTTATTCTATGTAAGTTTACATAAAGTCTACATGAAAAATGTTATAGGTTCAGTTAGAATATCACATCTGAAGGTAGTTGTCTGCTAGTTGATAAAATAACTTGTCTCATTCATTATTGACGTAACACACATGTACATCACTGGTACTGTCCGGTTAATGGAGGTTATTATTAAGGACTGTAATTTATATGCGCATGAGCACTGAGTAGTCAAGTCACAGACTGTCAGTAACAGCGCGAACGAAAAGTTCTGTGTTTTAACAAGGAATGTACGTAATGGTGTTACTCTGTATCTTAGTTAAACAGACGTAAATTATTTAATACAACACCTGTGCATTTGTCAGACACTAATGTGTTAGCGGCTGCTGTCTGAACTGAAAGAGAATTGCCCGGTACTATTTGATGTGATCCATGCTGCTCTTGGTGACAAGATACCTCTGAGTTCAAAGGTAGCAACAATCTTGGCGTTTACGGAAAGGGGCGAGTGGTGACGAATGCGAGGCCTCATCCCAAATTAGCCCCAGGGGGGGACAACTCTCCCACACAAGCGCATAAGTGCATGCCGCACAAATGAGTATAAGGTGGTTATTTTGTATCATTTTCCTGATTGTATGTCAACGTGCAATTATGGCGTGTATCATTGTCCATGCTATCAACTACTTACTTACTGTAATCTGTAATAATTTGCAGCGTTGACTAGCTAGTCACGTCTCAATTCTGTCTTTTTAAACTCCTGGTCCCATTTTACCTGAGCTTCGTTTGGAAGTAGCCACATCTATTTCTTCTCATAATATACTCCCCCCCCCCCCAAAAAAAAAAAACGCATATAGGAATTTCAACTGTATTTTTATGCTTATTTTGAAACATCTTGTAGGCTTTATGAGTCAATGAAATATAGCGAAATTGCACACTGGGAATGCAAACTTATCCGTCTTTGGCACCAACTCGAGGAAAGTCAGTTTGAGTGTCACATGGAGACGTGTGGTGGCGCTGAAGTCAATACCTCGTGTGACCACCGTGGGCATCCAGAACTGCACGGCATCGCCTTGGCATCGAACGAATAAGTCTCAGAATCTCGTGTTGCCCAATCGCAGCCCACTCTGCCTGTAGTGCCTGTGCGAGTTGCTAAAGTGTCTGGGGCTGAGGGTTACGGCGTCGCACCCGTCTGTCCAGGGCATCCCACAGATGTTCGATCGGGTTTAAGTCCGGTGATCTTGATGGCCAGGGGAGCACAATAATGTTGTGGTTCTGGAGGAAGTATCTAGCGTGACGTGCTGTGTGGGGCCTGGCATTGTCCTGTTGAAACAACTCCCCTCTGGCGATCAATGATTGGAAGGAGGTGTGGGCGTAGGATTTCGTCACAGTACAGTTGAGCTGTCAGGTTGCCCTGGATCATCACCAAATCACTTCTCCTACGGCAGGTGATCGCTCCCTATATTATAACACTGCCCCGGTCGAATCTGTCCACCTGGGGAATGCAAGTATCGGCGAAACGTTCACGTCGACGTCTGTACACCCGCATTCTTCAATCGCGTCGTTCCAATAGAAATCGTGATTCATCACTGAACCAGATTCTACGCCAATTCGGTAGGTTCCAGGCCTGAACGTTGGTGCACCATTGAACTCGATGTCGACGATGTTGTTGTGGAAGCACAGGGCCAAAATAAGGTCTTCTGGCACGTAAACCAGCCTCTCTCAACCTGTTCCTGACGGTCTGTGCAGAAAGCCTCCTCAATCCGGGTATTTGTAGAGCGGTACTGGTCGCCGTAGCTGTTCGATGACGCAGGTGATGTACCCGGATGTAGCGATCCTGCGCCGCAGTGGTCGCTCGAGGTCGCCCACTTCGAGGGGCATCTGCTACCGCATTCTTGTGATATCTCTCCTAGAGCCGTGAAAAGGTGCTTTGGTGAACATTCATGCGTCGGGCAACTGCACGTTGAGACGGGCCAGCTTCAAGCAAACCAATGGCGATATGACGGTTGGCTTCACTTAGACGTGGCATTTTGCGTTCGTCAACAATATTCCAAATACAGTGAATAATCGACAGACAGCGATCAACCTTTTATACCCATCATTGAGACTATCTGATCCCCAACTTTCACGTGCATTGCATGTGAATTGTGTATTCTGTGACACTACACGCCGAAATTGAAAATCATGCTGTTAAATACGGGTATTTTACGGATGGTGCGTTTTGTTGTGATGTTTCAAAACATAAACACCATAGGACTCATAGAGCAAAACCTTTGGTAAAATGAATCACGTTTTAATCCATTGCTACATGAAATTGCTATTTTCATGATGCGTTTCTATTTTGGGAGAGTATATATCCCGCGTATGATTATACTTTGATTTGACTGATATTCGTTCTGTACGGAAAAATACGAGGGGAAAATGTCCAAGTGATCACAGAATGTCGGGAAAACACCAAATAATGGAACAGACCGCCGCCATATAGCTGGAATATTGCTGAACGTAAAACAAAACTCACTCACTCACTCACTAAATAATGGAGGATGATCTAAATGTGACGAAACTACTACATTCACCTAATCAATCGCGATTAAAGTGTCAGTGATAACACGTTGTCCTGATAACGTCGTAGCTACGTATGGGGTGTCAGCTGACTTTAATATAGTTACCTACTCGTACTGTCCTTCTACGTGGTCAGGGTAGATGTGAGCCATGACTCTACACTCACCTGGTCCGGAGAGGAACGTTAAGTTTTTACTCAAATTTAAAACTGAGTTTGACAATTTGAAACAGCTAAATTTTTTAACTCAACTACATTTTTAAAATAATAAAGCCCAAATCTATCCACCAAACTCAAATTGTCTACTATGTTTGAGTTTAATAATTTTAAAAATCAATTTGAGTTCATTCTGAGAAATGCATTTTCTCACATTTGAGTAAAAAACTCTAACTTAAGTCAAAACTCAGACTTAAGATTTTTCGAGAAATCGGGGCCAGGAGTGAGAGGTCGGACGACCGTGACTCCTAACTATCAACATCACATTCATGTACTGTAACATCCATACAATAATTAACGCAACACAAAGTTTTATACTCACACACGTTTTCTTCGCATCAGTCTATCTCTCCAATTACAACTTCAACACAAGACAGGATTGACTCGTACCAGAGTGAGGAAACTGAGTGACCGCAGTTTCGACATAGTACAGCAAATGCATGTTGGTCTACCAACCGTTGAGGGTCTTTGTTTACATAAATGTCGGGGTTTTGTACTAACAATCCGTTGTAATACGTTGGATTGTGCAGAGGAATTCATGGGACCCAGCAATATCAGTTTTATGTGTGTACATGCACTTGTGTCAACATATGACACCACCTCAGTTGTAAACTTCAGCCTTTGTTCTGATCCCATAAACCATGGATCGTTGGACAGAGCTGAACGAGCCATATCCGTAGGGCTATTACACTTCTTCATTGCCTACATTACCACATTCATGGCTAAGATTTAACTTAACATGCATTACAGTCATGTTACATTTTGTTTCGTACATTCTAAGATATGTTTATCACACCACTTGTTGTTGGCAATGACTCATAATGTCCACACATTTCAGACCCCACTGAACGTGACGTGTGGCACTGAGTGTATTAGTCTAGTGGAAGTCCACATGATTAATACCCATTCTTCAAAATAACTCTTCATCTTCAACTGTTAAACTGTCACGTTAAACTACATATTTCTCAATATAAAGATAAAATAGCAAAACTATTATAGCTTATTAAGTTACACTTGCGTACAAACTAAACTGACGGTCAAAAGAAACGCCCCCATAGATTGAAAACCTTATTGTCAAATAATCACATAAGAAATGAAATATGCTACTGATTTGTGGCATCGGTACCCCATACATTTACACTGACACGATAACCTTCAGTTATATAAACTACTGAGCAAACGGAAGTCATCAGCGACTTCAATTGACCAGAAAATAAAAAACAATGACGTATGTGAGATTTACGATAACTAGTTTACAAAAAAAAGAAATCATTTTCCAATAACTTGACGAAATATTCACTTGAATGCTGGTGTTGCATTTACCTCAATTCTTTAAGAATGAGTCAAGGGGTCAAAATAAAAGCACAAATCAGAGTTAAATCATTCCAAAAGTGCATAAAGAGTCACATAATGAGACAGGATCAGGGGACACGTCATCAATAGCGAGTGTGACCACCCTGGGCATCCATATCCGCCAACACAGTTTTCGTTTAATAAGCACCCCAAAAGGTCTCAACACTTCATCCCTGTATGGCCTTGCATTCACATTTCCTCGGATGATAGCCAGTCTTGTTTTTCCCTGGCCACATCACCTCTAACGAGCAATAGTGTTAATACTGGGTCTAAACCGAACCAATACCTTCTTCAAGTGAAACTGTACATTTGTACTTTTTATTTCTATTTTACTTCACGTTCACGTGAGTATGTCAGTGGAGTGGAATAACTGTAAGATATATAATTATCTATCTACCAAAATCATGAGTTAAACACACGCATGTCTTTCAATATTCCATGTAAGAAATGGGTATATTGAGATCGGTATGGCTTGCACTGGATCGTACAGATTTTCAGTTTAATCTGATATAAACACGTGTTTGACTTATTCATCTGCACTGCAATTGTATGTCATGAAAGTACTTGAATCTTGAGTAGATATGCTTAAAGTGAGTTATCCCCTTATCAACGGTGTCTGCGGGGGCATACATGCACTACTGTCAACAGTGTACCCCATGGTAACATACCATATAAAAGCCAGAGACGCTCTGAGCTGTCTGTGTTTTGAGTGCGTTGACTCAACACACCGTAAGGGAACCCAAGGCCTGGCACCATGCTGAAAATGGCTCTCTTTCGACTTTTAGTTCGTAAGTGGCAAATATTGTTCTAAAATGACTGTAACGTACGAACTAAGGTAAAGTAAACGCATCTACTCCTACTCCAGTATTGATAATACTCTGTTTGGTGTACAGCTCTAACCCTAACACATGCATGGATCTGAACATTTTTCACATTTAATGCATGATCACATATTCTGAAAAATCTTAACTTCAGCTTTCTAAGTTATTTATACCGAGCATAAATCTACTTTACAGTTTCACTGATTGTCGCTGGTAAGTACATATTCATATTTTTCAAGCAATTGCATTTAAACATTTTTTATATCAGATTGATTATATTGGTCACTGTATTACCTCGTGGTCTCAAGATGTTCAAGATTTATTGTTAACAGTATTCACCCAGAAACGCTTATGCTCCTTTAATTACACATAACCGTAACATATGTTATATTTGGGATTACACTTTCTTAGTAAAGTACAGATTCTAGTACTTTTTGTTGGGTTGAGTCCCATCCGGGATTCGAACCTCACACCCTCAGAGTCAGGCACCTAATCGCCACTAGTGGAAGTCGCGGTGGCTGAGCGGGTTAGGCATCTGACTTTGTGTGCTGGCGATTAGATGCCTGGTTCTGAGGGTATGGGTTCGAATCCCGGATGGGACTCAACCCAACAAAAAGTTTCAACCTAATTATTTTTTCAGCATCTGCAGCAGAAATATGCACAACCGGTGGAGGTCAATGTCAGAATGGCGGATCATGTGACATAAGCGCATCTCCAGCCGTATGTAAATGTATCAATGAATACAAAGGAGACACGTGTGAGACAGGTAGGTAACTTGTTACTACAGCTTAAACACTTGTGTATTGTGTTTCTATCGTCAAAGTTGTTATTTGATCTTAACTTATTAATATGTGTTGAATCATCATATATGTCCAGATTACTATTAACATCTTCTCCGGGACATCTACAGATGATGAATCATTTTAATGTCAATGAATTTCAGCTCCAGCAGCAGCCATATGCACAACCGGTGGAAGTCAATGTCAGAATGGCGGTACATGTGACATAAGCGCATCTCCAGCCGTATGTAATTGTGTCAATGGATACAAAGGAGACACGTGTGAGACAGGTAGGTAACTTGTTACTACAGCTTAAACACTTGTGTATTGTGTTTCTATCGTCAAAGTTGTTATTTGATCTTAACTTATTAATATGTGTTGAATCATCATATATGTCCAGATTACTATTAACATCTTCTCCGGGACATCTACAGATGATGAATCATTTTAATGTCAATGAATTTCAGCTCCAGCAGCAGCCATATGCACAACCGGTGGAAGTCAATGTCAGAATGGCGGTACATGTGACATAAGCGCATCTCCAGCCGTATGTAATTGTGTCAATGGATACAAAGGAGACACGTGTGAGACAGGTAGGTAACTTGTTACTACAGCTTAAACACTTGTGTATTGTGTTTCTATCGTCAAAGTTGTTATTTGATCTTAACTTATTAATATGTGTTGAATCATCATATATGTCCAGATTACTATTAACATCTTCTCCGGGACATCTACAGATGATGAATCATTTAATATACAGGTGATCAATCACTTATTGTCAGCAATTTCAGCTCCTCCTTCATCAGCACATGCACCGACGGTGGAACGGAATGCAAGAATGGCGGTACATGTGACATAACCAAAAGTCCAGCCGTATGTACTTGTACCGGTGGATACACAGGGACACGTGTGAGACAGGTAGGTAACTTGTTACTACAGCTTACACACTTGTGTATTGTGTACCATTACATTTTTCATTGAAGAATAAACTTGTTACTTGATCTTGACTTCATTAATGTGCATCCTGTTTCAAAATGCAGTGTTGAATCAACTATATATGTCCAGAATATGTTTAACATCTTATCCGGGACATCATAAAATGCTTGTCTGAGAATATACAGGTTCAATCACTTATGTCAATGAATTTCAGCTCCTCCTTCATCAGCCATATGCACAACGGTGGAACGGATGTGCAAGCATGGCGGTACATGTGACATAACCAAAGTCCAGCCGTATGTACTTGTACCGGTGGATACACAGGAGACACGTGTGAGACAGGTAGGTAACTTGTTACTACAGCTTAAACACTTGTACCATTGTGTTTCTATCGTCAAAGTTGTTATTTGATCTTGAACTTATTAATATGTGTTGTTTCAATCATCAAATATATCCAGATTACTATTAACATCTTCATACAATGCTTGACATCTACAGATGATGAATCATTTAATGTCAATGAATTTCAGCTCCTGCAGCAGCCATATGCACAACCGGTGGAAGTCAATGTCAGAATGGCGGTACATGTGACATAAGCGCATCTCCAGCCGTATGTAATTGTGTCAATGGATACAAAGGAGACACGTGTGAGACAGGTAGGTAACTTGTTACTACAGCTTAAACACTTGTGAATTGTGTTTCTATCGTCAAAGTTGTTATTTGATCTTAACTTATTAATATGTGTTGAATCATCATATATGTCCAGATTACTATTAACATCTTCTCCGGGACATCTACAGATGATGAATCATTTTAATGTCAATGAATTTCAGCTCCAGCAGCAGCCATATGCACAACCGGTGGGGGTCAATGTCAGAATGGCGGTACATGTGACATAAGCGCATCTCCAGCCGTATGTAATTGTGCCAATGGATACAAAGGAGACACGTGTGAGACAGGTAGGTAACTTGTTACTACAGCTTAAACACTTGTGTATATTGTACCATTACATTTTTCTATTGAAAAATAAACTTGTTACTTGATCTTGACTTCATTAATGTGCACCCTGTTTCAAAATGCAGTGTAGAATCACTATATATGTCCAGAATATGTTTAACGTCATATCCGGGAGATCATACAATGCTTGTCTTCACAGAATATACAGGTGATCAATCAGTTGTTATTTCATCTGGACTTTATGTAATGTTGAGTGACTCACTATACATGTCCAAACTAACTTATGATTAGCATGTTCTCTAGGAGGTTATACCACGCGTATCGGATAGAATCTACAGATGATGAAACACTAGTCAATGAATTTCAGCTCCTTCAACACCGATATGCACAGCCAGTGGAGGACAATGCAAGAATGGCGGTACATGTGACACAACCAAACATCCAGCCGTATGCAAATGTACCGGTGGATACAGAGGGGACACGTGTGAGACAGGTAGGTGACTTGTTACTACAGCTCAGCCCCTGTAAACATTCAGTCATCAATCAAATATGGTTGTAAATATATTCATTATAAAATGTCAAATGTCACAAACGCATTGTTCTTACCATTGTGAGTCATGGTTACATTTATGTCCAGGATGATCTTACAACTTTATAAGACTGAATGATACCATACGGTATATTCTACCGTGACACTCTTCATTGTGACTTGTCAAAATCTGGCTGTTAATTTCACTTGCATTTTTACATCGATGTATAGATGGTATTTGCTTGGATAAAACAACAGCTGCCGATAGCCCATTAGAAATGTATACGTTCACTGTCAGATCAACAGCTTAACATACATGATTAAAGCTATTTCAGAACACAATTCAGTAAAACACACAGTGGCCACTAACCATGGGCATACTCTCATCAGTCACAACACTGACAAGATTTAGACATTTTGTTTGTGCTATGGCAACTCGTTTCCAGCTACAGATCGTGTTATAAAGCCATACTTCAGGGTGTATTTGTTTACAAACATGCACTACTGTTACTGGGGAGTTATTCCCAGCCTACTGGTACAACATTGAAATAACTCCCAGTTCTCGTACATTTCCGACAGGTCTTCAAAAAGGCGGTATTTACCAAACGCAAAGTAGTTTCGTTGACAAAGAGGCCGCTCCAGTAAACTGGTTTCCAGGAGAAAATTGAATTAGTCAAATTATAGAAGATATATCAATCAGTTTTATGCATTTGAAGTGTCACTCGGAAGTGCTTGGTTTCCGAAGAAAAGAAAAGGTTTCTAAATCTACAGTACACAACCTCCAATTAGACAGTAGGTATCTCTCCCACGTGATAGCTGCAGTGTGTGTTCACATAGAACAAAACGATGTCGAATTAGCTGATTTACATCGCTCCTTGCAATGTCACATAAATTTTCAACTGAATGACGGATAATCAGATAGCTGAGGATGTCTTGTTGATATGCTCAATGCGTGGACTATATTTAGTGTTGATGATTTTCAGCTCCTGCAAGAGCTATTTGCACCACCGGGGAACGGAATGCCTCCATGGCGGTACATGTGACACATCCCAAACTCCAGCCGAATGTAAATGTACCGGTGGATACACAGGGGACACATGTCAGAATGGTAGGCGACTTTAAGATACCATACTGTTAAGATTAGAAAATCTAAGCCACATCCATAGGGTAGTTTAATGACTTCCCCCTCAACCTTAACAACTTTACTCTGAAAAAATCATATTATATATTCAATACTATATTAATAGCGGGTGTTTTAGAGTAAAGGTCGCTCTGTGGGGCTGCGTGATTCGGTCGGGATCCTATTGCAATTCCAGTGGTGTTATAGATACTGAGCTTTCGACAACCGATTTCGTTAGTCATGTTGTTGAATCTATATAAAAACACTGCCGTTAATTTGAATAAGGATTCAACATCGATATAGGAAAGTGTGGGTATTTCGACGGGAAAATGATTTTGGTTTCAAAAACGTGTGAGATTACAAAGGTTTTTAAGAAACTGCACGATTACGTTATATCAAGTTAAAATCAATTTTATCTTTATACCAGGAGCCGTCGTTGTACGAATGTCAGCATACTGCCTCATCTTGGGACTTGTGTCGTACTGGATCACGCCAGGGCACACATTGTTTGAAATGGCTTCACCTTCACAGACAACTAGACGCATAGATGACATGTAGTTTATTTAATCCTAACATAACAAATTGATGCTTCACTGATACACTAGAGACGATTTATAGTTTACAGATTTTTAGACAAGATGTTGACGTTAGTTTGATGTGGGTTTTTGTATTATATTGATTGTTATTTACGATGAGTTGTTACAGAACAAACGTAGACAACTTGACGCACAGATGACATTTAGTTTATGTAATCCTATCATAAGCGACTACATATCATGAATCAGTTACACTTTTATTATCATTTTAGGAAAACTTATGCTTCAATCCTACGTCAGTCCACTGTGTGTTTTTACATTAATGATAATATCAAATATTGTCTTTACTGCGATGATTTATTACAGGATGAACATAGTTTACTACAGCTAAAAAGGCAAAGAATCTCGCAGCACCATTTCGGCCATTGATGACATGTTACTGATGACGTGGACCTCTCCCCGAGTGACCACTGACACAGAGTAAATGTTGTCCACCTTTCTAGCAGCAGTAGCAGTTGCAAATTGGTTTCACTATATTACAACTGTTTGTCATGGTGATGTGATTTAATATATAGCTGAATAAAAGCTCATACTTAGAAAACAATGTGTTCATTTTCATAGTGTCTTAATGGTGTGTATGGTGGTGAGGTGTGCATGGTGGTGAAGGGTGTATGGTGGTGAGGGGTGTATGGTGGTGAGGTGTGTATGGTGGTGAGGTGTGTATGGTGGTGAGGCGTGTATGGAGGTGAGGTGTGTAAGTTAGTAACTATGGCACGGGACAGTTCAGAATACCAAACACATGTCTCGGCTTCAAAGTAAATCGATTGCGAACCTCCTGCACGTACTGAACATTGTTTTGGAACAAGCCATTGACTAATAAGAGTCGAAGATTAAATTCAGGACGGACAAAACCATAAAAAAGATGGTTTACTACGATTTCTAGAAGGTCGTAAATGGATATTAAATTTAAGATATGGGATCACTGGGTTGCTGACAGTACGGTATTGGGGAAATCTGTTGAAGCACACAGTGGAGATTTATTATTCTTTATTATCCTTGATCTTTGGCACATACTTCCCTAAACTAATCTTTAGAACAACAGAATGATGTAAATAATTCGCTGGAAACAGATTTTTTTCGTTTGTTTGAGGCCATATAACTTATTCGTATCTCTTGAAGCGTACATAGGGTATAATTTATATATCCCGCTATGACGGCGGTCTGTGAACAATCATATCTTAACCAGACTATCCAGAGATTGACATTGTGAACACCAAGCTACACAACTGAAACACAATGACAAGCATTAAACATATCAGGGCACCTTACCACTTGCTTCACCGCGAGTCTTAGCATGAAGCATGAGTTAGTAAAAGTAAAAGGGAACTGAAATTAAGTGGTAAAAGTTAGAATAATTCGAATCAACATAAATACACATGTGCTTATGAGAACTATCTTTAGAGTAGTAACTGAATAATCACGCCCAGTTCGTGGCAAAGTAAACGTTTCAAGCACAACTAAGTACATCGTGTTTGTGTGTAACAATTTACCTTTCAAAATGTATGATCTGTAATGTTTCATTTTTACCCATGATTACTAATCATGTGTATCTCGTACAATCACCCTTAGTTAGTGAATTGTATGGACACGTAAAGATCCGGGTTTGAATTGGTCCTCAGCAACCCATGCTTGTCAGGCTAGCTGACTTGGTTGACACATGTCATCATATCCCAGTTTAGTCTGATGCTCATAATACTTTCACTGGGTTGTCTGGTCCAGACTCGAGTATTTACAGACCGCCGCCATATAGCTGGAATAGTGCTGAGTGCGGCGTAAAATTAATATTATCATATCCCAATTACTTGTACGATGCTCATGATACTGATCACTGGGTTGTCTGGTCCAGACTCGATTATTTACAGACCGCCGCCATATAACTGGAATAGTGCTGAGTGCGGCGTAAAATTAATATTATCATATCCCAATTACTTGTACGATGCTCATGATACTGATCACTGGGTTGTCTGGTCCAGACTCGATTATTGACAGACCGCCGCCATATAGCTGGAATAGTGCTGAGTGCGGCGTAAAATTAATATTATCATATCCCAATTACTTGTACGATGCTCATGATACTGATCACTGGGTTGTCTGGTCCAGACTCGATTATTTACAGACCGCCGCCATATAGCTGGAATAGTGCTGAGTGCGGCGTAAAATTAATATTATCATATCCCAATTACTTGTACGATGCTCATGATACTGATCACTGGGTTGTCTGGTCCAGACTCGATTATTGACAGACCGCCGCCATATAGCTGGAATAGTGCTGAGTGCGGCGTAAAATTAATATTATCATATCCCAATTACTTGTACGATGCTCATGATACTGATCACTGGGTTGTCTGGTCCAGACTCGATTATTGACAGACCGCCGCCATATAGCTGGAATATTGCTGCGTTAAGCAACAAACAAACAAAGACTAGTATGGCCTCGTTTGTCCGTTGTTACATGGAATGGATCATGTGTTTATACTAAATGTTCTGTATAAAAAGTATATTCTGTAGCATATAGAAATCTCACGTTGACCCATGTTCAGGATAATTTCTCTGTGTGTCTTAAAACTATTCTCGTCATATATAATATCAATAAAAACAGCAAAACATTGTGTTTTATCATAAGAAAACCATTCATTAGCAAACCTTGGTCAATCACGACAAACCGGCGATGATATATATTCACAACAACTCAAGTATGAGCATAACTTTGTCCTCAATAAGTGCATACATCTGTTATCATCTGATCGCATGAGACATTTTTAGTGCGTTCATTTCAGTGGTTCATTCTGTCTGTGCGCATTCGGCTAACATACGCTGATATTGTTCAACCTTGAACATTGTACCATGAATTAAACCCCCAAATGACCAACGTGAACTCTCCCAGCGAATACAGAGTGACTGGAATGAATATGTGAACGAGCAGGTATAGGTTTGATAACAGTACATGTATTTCGTTGTTTAAAATGTGTTGTTTGAATCAGCGTTTTGAGGAAGTTATTGGTGTAGCGCTTGATCGATTTAGTGAGAAATCCATAATAATCCAGGGAGATGCATTATCTCTTCAGAGACATGTAAAATTTGTTGCGAATCTCAGAGAGGACTGGCCTAGACTGTTACCTGTCATGATAACTATAGAGGCGAATTGGTGGTTGTTGGTTGTCTGGACCAGACAGTCCAGTGATTAACATCATTAGGATCGATCTATGAAGTTGGCAAATTTCTCAAGTCGATTTTTGTAAAGATGGGGAAAGAGAGGACCCCAAGGGAGGGCGGTGAGTTGCCTGTGCCGTCTCTCCATGCGAAGCAGGTTGAGGTTGTCCAGGATATGGTTCCGGTGATTGGTGTAGAGAGAACACGTGGTTGATTTGGGATGTAAATACCGCGACGGCGAGAAAACGGGGCTTCATCAGGTGGACCATCCTCTATAACCTCAAGAGTATACGTTCCGATAAATGTCCACTAGTACCCTGGATGCATCTACGGTTCGGCCCGATAATTTTATTACCTCCCTTTTGCTGGCTTTTTATTCAATTAGCTTGCCAATGACAAGACTTCTTTCATAACTCACTTTCGCTTCTTTTATCTAACTGATTAAACTTGGCAACACAATTCTGGAAGTGGTAGGAGTTCTTGCATATATTTTTGGAAGGTTTCAGACATGTCAAATTGTCTGTATGATTTTTCCCTAAATCTGAGTCGCATAGCGAGCAAACCTTCACGGCTGCGTCCGCTATCAGCGCACTGGCAAGCTCGGTTGCAACGGCTTATCTGATTGGCTACTGTGAGAAGGCGGACCCAGCTAAGGGAGGTAATAAAATTATCGGGCCGAGCCGTAGATGCATCCGGGGTACTAGTGGAGATTGGTTTTGATGGTAAAATATGTAGTTTGGCAAAGGTGAAAACTCGTCTTTTATAGTCAGTTTTGTCCCTTACCATGTCTAAGTGTATCACCATCAATCCACAATTGATCTTAATGTTTCAGATCCGTGAAGATTAGGGTTTATCAGCAACCCATGCTTGTCATAAAAGGCGACATACAGGATTGGGTGGTCAAACTCGGTGATATCAAGGATTGTCTTGTCCATAATGAATTATATACAGACTAACTTTACATTTGGAAAATTTCTACTAACAAACAAACAAACACCGGACTTAATGTTTTACAATTCATGAAGAATGTCGCTCTTGATCCGATCTGATGCTTGATAATCACGCATTGTGCTTCGCCCAATTACGGACATATTATGCTGCTCGATCAAATTTGTTAATCCACTTCGACCCATTACGGACATGCTCTTGCCACAAAATTGTTCCTTGCGGATCCAACATTAGAGATCAATCACGACCCTGGTGGAGGGATCCGAATTTACCGTTTGGACTGACTGTGACCGACTATGGTTGTTAACCAAGCCAGCAAAACGTTCGTCGCGTTGGGCGCACAATAAATTTTAGCACTCCACCGTCGTGTCAGTTGTTTTCGCAATCACGTTCAACAGGAACTCACGCTCATGTCATGCTGGCAAGAAAATAACACAGCGTACACATGACCAAGCTCTACAGTTAGTGAGAGATAGATAATCGGTTGACCCACGAGTCACGTCTCTCATGACGGATGATTTCGGATCGCGACAATGTGCATGCGTTTCGGGTAGCGCCAGGGGTTTGTAAAAGTTCTGCGGGAGTTGTGACTCGTCTGTTAATTTTTTCGGATCACAGCCGTCTGCCTGGACAGTGCTGTTGGAAATGAGTTGAATGCGTACTGTTTGTTACAGCCAAAACACCAGTCGACTAATGCCCTTTTATTACACACGTGTTCTGAATATCGTAATGAGATAAGTTTGGTTATTTGAAACAGGTGTTGTGTAACCAGTTGAAAGTTACTTAACGAATGTTGTGTAACCAAACTAAGTTATTCAACGATAGGGACGTCATAATGCCGAACTACTTTTACAATCAGCTGATCGAGTGCGAGTGACCTTTCTGGTGCCACCTCGATATTTTAAATTCACATTATAACTCCATTCAAGCACTTTTTCACAGAAAAATGTCAACCAAACAAAACATAAGGTTTGTGGACAAATTAAAGTTCCATTTCTGTGTCCAGGGGATTAGTATTATTTTTCAATTGAATATTTTAAATTGTATATTTTCTTCTATATTAAGTAGTCGTGACAAAGGTATCTCCCCTTTTGTTTACATCCGGCGTCGTCTGCTTGATTAATGTTGTTCTCATGGATTACGGTCTCAATGTAAATGACTTTGTTTCTATTGATGGAAAGGATAGGGGAAGAGTGGTATCAATAATTCAGCCTTTAGGGACCTACAGACTCTACAATGTGAAACTGGTTTCAGGAGAAATTAGGCAAGTACCTCGATTTAGATGTATGAAAATAGCCGAGACTCCATGTAAACCAATGTCGCCATCAACGTCAAAGCTATCAATTTCGCAGGTTGATCTACCCTCTGAAGTGCTGAATAACTTCTTTGAGAGGCATTTTAGAAGTTGTATAGATTAAGGAAAACCAAGTTGTATGGATGGTCATCTTCTTTATTGCAATGACTGCGGCGTTTCGACGTTTCGGTGTAGGTACTAACACATTTATCAAGCAAGTGATGTGTGATAAAACAATTTTTTTTAATGTTTGGTTGTTTGTATTGATATTATACCTTACAAGAATAGAAAGAATAGAAATCATTCTGAACATGGGTCAACATGTGATTTCTAGATGTTACAGAATATACTTTATACAGTCATTTAGTACAATAACACAATCCATTTTTAAAATCCGTTTTTCTTGTCATGTAACAATGGACGAACAAGGCCAAACTCTTCTTTCTTTATTTGTTGCTTAACGTCTCACTCAGCAATATTCCAGCTATCTGTAAATAATCGAGTCTGGACCAGACGCACCAGTCATCAACAGCATGAACATCGATCTACGCTACTGTGATACAAACTCAGCGCGAATGACCACCCGATCCGGTAATCACCTCTTATTACAATTATAGGTTGCTCAAGACCAATTCAAACCCGGATCTTCACGGGCCCACACTGATATAAGGCTGATTGGTCTCAACAAGGTACAAACGATTATTAATATTTGTATATTTCTGGGTAAAAGTCAAATTTCTAAATTTGAAGGAATGTGTACTTTGGAAGGTAAATTGTTACACTAACATGATGCAGTTTAGTTGTGTTTGCACACGTTTACCTTGCCACGTACAAGGCGTAAATATTCAACAACGAGGAGAGTTCTATGGATATACAACTTTTTAAATATGAATATGAGAGACGTTTCGGTGTAGCTACCGACACTGTTATTAAGCAAGTGACATTACTTGATTGCTTGAAAACGGTGTTAGTAGCTACACCGAAACGTCGCTGATATTAATATTAAAGAAGTTGTATATCCATATAACTCTCCTCGTTCACCAGCTTCCAAATACATATTGAATGACTGCTTTTATTAACAAATACGTTTTCATAAGCACACGTGTATGTTCTGATTTTTTAATACGAAAGCCGCAAACTAAGTTTTACCACTTAAGTTCTGTTCCCATTTAGTTTTACTGCAACCTAAACACAATATCATCTGATACCATTTCATAAGGGACTGACCAAGATCTCATGAGCATACCATTGAGCATACCAATGTTCGATATCGTGTGGCCCTCACAGCACATAACTTTACACTTTCTACCGATTTCATTTGAGTAACATGACCTCTGTTTGAAAAGAGGCTATGCAAATTCTTATTCAATGAAACACAATCCGTATGTACTGACATTATTTGTCTTTCTGTCTGGAAAACCAACCAACAGATATCAGAACATGAGGATTGGCAACTCCGAACGACGCCACGTGCACATTGTATACGTTCTTTTCTGATACAATCATTGTACCTTAACAAGTGATTAATTTTACAACAAATGTTGTTCAATATTTGCACATACGTTTTGTAAATTTATTTTCTGTTGTAAACCCTTAGTGAAGATCCGGATTAGAATTGCTCATTAGTAACTCATTCTTCATGCTAAGATTCGCGGTGAAGCAAGTGGTAAGGTGCGCTGATATGTTTAATGCATGCCATTGTCTTTCAGTTGTGTAGCTTGGTGTTCACAATGTCAATGTTGCTAATTGTCAGCGTCAGAGAATAATAAGTATGTGTGCTTAATTAGATTTTCATGAGGTGTTAAATTGCAAATTAGTGATACATGTTTTGTCATTTGACCATTTGACCATCAGGTGATCTGCTCTGAGGGTACCATCCGTCACTCACAATTGTTCAGGAAAGAATTCAGGACTTTCAGGAGGTTCTCAAATGATTTACTTTGAAAAAGATAAGACATTTAATTTTTTCACCAAAAGTTGTATGTTTCACCATACAATTCTTTTTATAAAGTATGTTTCATTTTTGACTCACCAACTTCTAGAATGTAGATCAAACATTTTGAAAAAGAAAAAACTGCTTGATATATTGAACTATTCCACGCTATTGTCACAAGTTACACGCCTCACCACCATACACACCTCACTAACATAAACGCCTCACCACCATACATACACCTCACCACCATACACACCTCACCACCATACACACCTCACCACCATACACACCTCATCACCATACATACACCTCACCACCATACACCCCTCACAACCATACACCCCTCACCACCATACACACCTCACCACCATACACCCCTCACCACCATACACACCTCACCACCATACACCCCTCACCACCATACACACCTCACCACCATACACACCTCACCACCATACACCCTCACCACCATACACACCATCACCACCATACACACACCACCGCCATACACACCTCACCACCATACACCCACCATACACCCTCACCACCATACACACCTCACCACGATACACCCCTCACCACCATACACACCTCACCACCATATACACCTCACCACCATACACACCTCACCACCATACACCCCTCACCACCATACACACCTCACCACCATACACACCTCACCACCATACACACCTCACCACCATACACACCACCATACACCCCTCACCACCATACACACCTCACCACGATACACCCCTCACCACCATACACACCTCACCACCATACATACACCTCACCACCATACATACCTCACCAACATACACCCCTCACCACCATACATACACCTCACCACCATACACCCCTCACCACCATACACACCTCACCACCATACACACCTCACCACCATACACACCTCACCACCATACACAACTCACCACCATACACACCTCACCGCCATACACACCTCACCACCATACATACACCTCACCGCCATACATACCTCACCACCATACACACCTCACCACCATACACACCTCACCACCATACATACCTCACCACCATACACCCCTCACCACTATACACACCTCACAACCATACACACCTCACCACCATACACACCACCATACACCCCTCACCACCATACACCCCTCACAACCATACACACCTCACCACCATACACACCACACCACCATACACATCTCACCACCATACACACCTCACCACCATACACACCTCACCACCATACACCCCTCACTACCATACATACACCTCACCACCATACACACCTAACCACCATACACACGTCACCTCCATACAGCCCTCACCACCATACACACCATTAAGACACTACGAAAATTGAGACATTGTTCTTTTACTAAGAATTTTTATTCAGTTATATACTAAATCAAATCACCATCACATTGAGTTGTAATATATTGAACTCAATTTGCAACTGCTACTTCAGCTAGAAAGGTGGACAACATTTACTCTGTGTCAGTGGTCACTCGGGGAGAGGTCCACGTCATCAGTAACATGTCATCAATGGCCGAAATGGTGCTGCGAGATTGTTTTAGCCTTTTAGCTGCAGTGAACTATGTTCATCCTGTTACATATTATATAAGTAAAAATTGATATTACTACAAAAACACACACCGGACTAACTTCTTATTGAAGCATAAATTTCCCTACAATAATAATAGAAATGTAACTGATTCAAGATATCTAGTCTTTATAATACTCGATTACATGAACTAAATGTCATCTATGCGTCTAGTTGTCTGTGAAGGGGGAGCCATTTCAAACAACGTGTACCCTGGCGGTGATCCAGTACGACACAAGTCCCAAGATGAGGCAGTATGCTGACATTCGCCCAACGACGGCTCCTGTTACAGAAACAAACTTGACATTGATATGATATAATGTAATCGTGCAGTTTCTCAAAATCATTTATAATTTTCCTCCCCTAAAAATGATATCACACGTTTTTGAAACCAAAATCAATTTTTCGTCGAAATACCTTCACTTTCCTATATCGATCTGGAATCCTTATTGAAATTACTGAAGGGTTTGAGTATCAAAACAGGTTGTCAAAGTCTCAGTACCTGCACAACACCACTGGATTGCTATGGGATCACGACCGAATAACGCAACCCCACCAAGCTACCTTACCTCTATAACAACTGGGGCGGTGGGGTAGCCTTGCGGTTAAAGTGTTCGCTCGTCATGCCGAAGCGTTCGCTCGTCATGGAATATTGCTAAAAGCGGCGTAAGACTAAACTCACTCTAAAACAACTGTTAATAAGTGCTAATAAGTGATTTTATTTCAGAGAAAAGTTGTTACGGTTGATGGGGAAGACATTATACTATCCCAAGCGAGCTGTATTCGACGTTCTGGTGATTTCGACGATTGCATTGCTCGTGCTATATCGGAGAGTACGTGCGCAATCGGAGAGCACAAGACATTTCATCGGCAGGGCAAATGCCCAGTCACTATCGTGAGAAGTTTTATTGACAATTGAAGTCCGGAAGTTAAGTGCATAAAAAGCAAACAAACATCAATATTATTTACCCGAGATCGTTAATACCACTTTAGATGCAAAATCAGTTGCCTTCATAACAAAAAATAGCAAGCGAAAATTCAGTAAGATCAGTCGTCTGGTAGTGATAGGCAATATATAGATAGGAAGCCATGTGATCACAACACTCCCTCGCAGTGCAGAGCACAAAGTATGGCTCAAAACCCATACAAAATACCCGGATGTAGCGAGCGGCAGCAGTTCCGCCGATACGATGTCATCAACGCTATTTTTGTAGGAAACACTTGATATTTTTGTGTTAAATAGATGAATATATCAAGGTTAGTAAAATAAAAACTCTAAATGATATTACAGATAGAAATTACGTTTTTGCCTTACATCGTCGAAAACCCCTGACACCGGGATACTATATGGATGTGTCTTAGAGTTTCAAATCTCAACAATAATGATGGCTTAAAGTCGCCTACCATTCTGACATGTGTCCCCTGTGTATCCACCATTACATTTGCATTCGGCTGTAGGTTTGGTTGTGTCACATGTTCCACCATGCAGGCATTCCTTTCCCCCGGTGGTGCAAATAGCTCTTGCAGGAGCTGAAATTCATCAACATTAGATTGAGTCGACGCATTGAACATATCTGCAAGACATCCTCAGCTATCTGCTTAGCCGTCATACAGTTAAATATCTATGTGACATTGAATCTAGCAATGTAAATCAGATAATTCTCACATCGTTTGAACACACACTGCAGCTATCATGTAGGAGAAATACCTACTGTCTAATTGGAGGTTGTGTACTATAGATTTAGATACCCTTTCTTTACTTTGGAATCCAAGCACTTTCGAGCGACGCATCACGTGTATAAATAAGATATATCTTCTATAATAGGACTAATGCAATTTTCTAGCGGAAATGAGCCTGCTGGAACATCCTCTTTGTCAAAGAAACTACCCTGCGTTTTGCTAAATACCGCTTTTTGAAGACCCGAGGGAAATGTACGAGAACAGGGGGCCATTTCAATGTTGAACCAGTCGGCAGGGAATAAACAGTAATGCATGTTTGTAAACAAATACACCGAAAGTATGGCTTTATGACACGATTTGTAGCTGAAAACGAGTTGCCATAGCACAAACAAAATGTCTAAAACTTGTCAGTGTTGTGACTGATGAGAGTATGTCCATGGTTAGTGGGCACTGTGTGTTTTACTGAATTGTGTTCTGAAATAGCTTAGCCTTTTATCATGTATGTTAAGCTGTTGATCTGACAGTGAACGTGTAAGATTCAAACGGGCTATCAGCAGCTGTTGTCATCCATACACAGGCCATCCTTAGATCGTTGTAAAAATGCAATTGAAATAAGCTGCCAGATATTTGACAGATCAGAATGAAGGGTTCATCGGTTTCAAGGTAGAATGAAGCGTGTGGTATCATTATATCTTATAAGTTTAAAAACCATCCCAGACATATATGTAACTATGACTTGCAATTCTTGGAACATTGCATTTGTCCACATATGTCCAGATCAAATAAGGGCTTTATCAAGAGAAGCATGTAATAGTATACACACGTGTATGAGCTGTAGTACATGTCACCTACCCATCTCACATGTGTCCCCTCCGTAGCCAACGGTACATATGCATGTATAGTGGGTGACTCAACATTACATAAAGTCCAAAAATAACAACTCTACAATAGAAACATGTACTACTCTGACAATAGCTGTAGTAACAAGCCACCTACCTGTCTCACACGTGTCCCCTGTGTATCCACCGGTACAAGTACATACAGCTGGAGTTTTGGTTATGTCACATGTACCACCATGCAAGCATTCTCCTCCACTGGCTGTGCATGTGGGTGTTGAAGGAGCTGGAATTCATTGACCAGTGTTTCATCATTTGTAGATTCTAAGAAGACATGTATGGTACGATCTCCCCGCATAAGATGTTATCAATATTCTGGCCATATGTAGTGACTTAACATTGCATTTTGAAACAGGATGCCACCAATGAAGTCAACAGTGGTTAGTGAGTGTTTTACTGAAGTATGTGTTTTGTGAAACACCTTTAACCGTGTATGTTAATGTATTAAGTTCTCATGGGCTTCCAGTAGCTGTTGTGTTATCCATGCGCAGGCCATCTATAGATCGATATGAAAATGCCAATGAACGTTTAAATAGGCTATCGGCAGCTGTTGTCATCCATGCATAGGCCATCGTTAGATCGATGTAAAAATGCCAATGAAATTAGCTACCAGATTTTGACATGTCAGAATGAAGGGTTAATCGGTTTCACGGTAGAATGAAGCGTGTGGTATTGTTCACTCAATAAGGTTCTAAGATAATCCTAGACATATATGCGACTATAACTCACAATAGTAGGAGCATTTTGTGGACACAAGATCAAGTACGGGTTTTAACATTTGGTAATGAATATATTAACAAACATACTTGACTAATGACTGAATGTTTACAGGGGCTGAGCTGTAGTAACATATCACCTACCTCTCTCACATGTATCTCCTGTGTATCCACCGGTACAATTACATACGGCTAGAGCTTTGGTTGTGTCACATGTACCGCCATGCTTGCATTCCCCTCCATTGGCTGTGCATTTTACCGTTGGAGCTGAAAATCATTGATAATCTCCCAGAGAAGATGTTAATCATATGCTGGACATGTATAGTGGGTGTCTCAACATTACATTTTGAAACAGTGTGCACATTAATGAAGTTCAGATGAAATGACAACTTTGACAACAGAAACATGTGATGTTATACATGTGTATGAACTGTAGTAACATGTCACCTACGTGTATCACATGTTTCCCCTGTGTATCCATCAGTACATGTGCATGTGACTGGAGGTGTGCTTGTGTCACAGGTACCGGTATTACACTTCCCTCCATCATGCGTGCATATGTCTGCAGCAGAAGCTGAAATATAATTCCGTTGAAACACGTTTCTAATTTTTCCCATACAGACATGTACGAAGTGATGACAAGTCTTCACACTTAATACCGAGTTTTCCTGGTGAAAACATTTACCAATAAACCTTCCAGCTAATCTTGAGCACACGTCATAAATACTGTGACTCACTTATATTAACCAGGTAAAAGTTAATTCCAAAAATGTATGCAATCACGTGAAAAATATAGATATATACTTACCACCGGCAAACAGTAAAGTAGGCACTATAAAGTAGACCATGCTTCGAGATACATATATGAATATATGTATCAATTTATGATCATGCAAAAAATGTTGAATATATTCAGACCATGAATGTGTTAGGGTTAGGTTTATTTGAATGCAGCAGCCCAACCCGGAGCGGAGCGTTTATAAACATAACTTTACTTCAGTTCGTACGTTAAAGTCATGATGTCATTTTAAAACAATATTTGCCACTTACGAACTAAAAAAAATCCAAAAAGAGACATTTTCATCATGGTGCGAGGTCTATGGTTGCCTCCCGGTGTGTTGAGTCAACGCACTCAAAACAACCTTCGTCACTATATTCTATATGATATGTTACCATATTTTACTCTGTTAACACTAGTTAGTGCAGAAACCGTTGATAAGGAGATAACTCACCTTAAATAAGTACGATCCAGTACAATTACATTGAATAAGTCAAACAATAAGTCAGATGAAACCTAAAACCTGGGTGTTTATGATAAGTACGACCCAGTGCAAGCCATACCGATCTCAATATACCCCTTTCTTACATTGAATATTGAAGGATATACGAAAAATTAAAAAGTACAAATGTACAGTTTCACATCAAGGGGGTATGGGGCCCGGTTGGACGCAGTGTTAGACCTTTCATGTTTCAAAGTTTAATTATTGTATAGACCCCTTTCAAGAAGGTACGTGACGTGAATCCACGACCTAAACTAAATACTCAGTATGAAATAACAGTATACACAAACCAGGACAGTTTTGTTGGGTACAGTTGAGGACTTCGACAGCAAGCAGCTGTTGTGTACAGTTCCTTCCGCCAAATGCAGGTGCTGGGTTGGTGCATGTCCTGAATCTGGACCTCTTCCTCACTCCTGGTCCGCAGCTTGTTGAACAGGAAGTGTTAACCCACTGTGACCACTCTGTTACGCCTCCATCAACTGCACAAAACCAAAAGCATTCAAGAGAGGAATTGACTGACATGATATGTCACCTTTCCACATTATGACCGTTCCTCTCCCATGCTCTGAGCCTTACACGGAGTTTTCATACCTCTCCGATTCTCATAAGCACTCAGGTTTTAATGAATGATTTCGTGAGTGGCAGGTCCCCTCGATAGAACAGGACACGTTGTATCATGACAGAGTTTCATGCATCATTTTATATCAGTGTCATCATTTTCTTCTTTACACTCTTCTAAATCCTTTAGGCACACATTCAAGACTCATTTGGTCTCTTGCAGTGGCGTTTGAAGTTCTCTCTTAATGTCTACAAATAGTTTGATTGATCCAATTTCAGACCTTTAGTACGACATTCACATCTGTAGTATTTTGTTTTGGTCTGGGATAATAATGTCAATATCATGCATGACTTGGTTTCTGTTGTACTTCCTTCTCATGGTAGGCCGCCGAAAGCAGGACAAAGGTTAGTGCTCTGCCAGTCCTTTATAATGTTATTCCCATAGATAGCAATACGGGCCAAACGGATGATTTTCCATGGCATACAGAATCGGTTCTGCTTATATCTGTAACATAGACCTTTCATGTTTCAAAGTTTAATTATTGTATAGACCCCTTTCAAGAAGGTACGTGACGTGAATCCACGACCTAAACTAAATACTCAGTATGAAATAACAGTATACACAAACCAGGACAGTTTTGTTGGGTACAGTTGAGGACTTCGACAGCAAGCAGCTGTTGTGTACAGTTCCTTCCGCCAAATGCAGGTGCTGGGTTGGTGCATGTCCTGAATCTGGACCTCTTCCTCACTCCTGGTCCGCAGCTTGTTGAACAGGAAGTGTTAACCCACTGTGACCACTCTGTTACGCCTCCATCAACTGCACAAAACCAAAAGCATTCAAGAGAGGAATTGACTGACATGATATGTCACCTTTCCACATTATGACCGTTCCTCTCCCATGCTCTGAGCCTTACACGGAGTTTTCATACCTCTCCGATTCTCATAAGCACTCAGGTTTTAATGAATGATTTCGTGAGTGGCAGGTCCCCTCGGTAGAGCAGGACACGTTGTATCATGACAGAGTTTCATGCATCATTTTATATCAGTGTCATCATTTTCTTCTTTTACACTCTTCTAAATCCTTTAGGCACACATTCAAGACTCATTTGGTCTCTTGCAGTGGCGTTTGAAGTTCTCTCTTAATGTCTACAAATAGTTTGATTGATCCAATTTCAGAACTTTAGTACGACATTCACATCTGTAGCATTTTGTTTTGGTCTGGGATAATAATGTCAATATCATGCATGACTTGGTTTCTGTTGTACTTCCTTCTCATGGTAGGCCGCCGAAAGCAGGACAAAGGTTAGTGCTCTGCCAGTCCTTTATAAAGTTATTCCCATAGATAGCAATAAGGGCCAAAGGATGATTTTCCATGGCATACAGAATCGGTTCTGCTTATATCTGTAACATAGACCTTTCATGTTTCAAAGTTTAATTATTGTATAGACCCTTTCAAGAAGGTACGTGACGTGAATCCACGATCTAAACTAAATACTCAGTATGAAATAACAGTATACACAAACCAGGACAGTTTTGTTGGGTACAGTTGAGGACTTCGACAGCAAGCAGCTGTTGTGTACAGTTCCTTCCGCCAAATGCAGGTGCTGGGTTGGTGCATGTCCTGAATCTGGACCTCTTCCTCACTCCTGGTCCGCAGCTTGTTGAACAGGAAGTGTTAACCCACTGTGACCACTCTGTTACGCCTCCATCAACTGCACAAAACCAAAAGCATTCAAGAGAGGAATTGACTGACATGATATGTCACCTTTCCACATTATGACCGTTCCTCTCCCATGCTCTGAGCCTTACACGGAGTTTTCATACCTCTCCGATTCTCATAAGCACTCAGGTTTTAATGAATGATTTCGTGAGTGGCAGGTCCCCTCGATAGAACAGGACACGTTGTATCATGACAGAGTTTCATGCATCATTTTATATCAGTGTCATCATTTTCTTCTTTTACACTCTTCTAAATCCCTTTAGGCACACATTCAAGACTCATTTGGTCTCTTGCAGTGGCGTTTGAAGTTCTCTCTTAATGTCTACAAATAGTTTGATTGATCCAATTTCAGACCTTTAGTACGACATTCACATCTGTAGTATTTTGTTTTGGTCTGGGATAATAATGTCAATATCATGCATGACTTGGTTTCTGTTGTACTTCCTTCTCATGGTAGGCCGCCGAAAGCAGGACAAAGGTTAGTGCTCTGCCAGTCCTTTATAATGTTATTCCCATAGATAGCAATACGGGCCAAACGGATGATTTTCCATGGCATACAGAATCGGTTCTGCTTATATCTGTAACATAGACCTTTCATGTTTCAAAGTTTAATTATTGTATAGACCCCTTTCAAGAAGGTGCGTGACGTGAATCCACGACCTAAACTAAATACTCAGTATGAAATAACAGTATACACAAACCAGGACAGTTTTGTTGGGTACAGTTGAGGACTTCGACAGCAAGCAGCTGTTGTGTACAGTTCCTTCCGCCAAATGCAGGTGCTGGGTTGGTGCATGTCCTGAATCTGGACCTCTTCCTCACTCCTGGTCCGCAGCTTGTTGAACAGGAAGTGTTAACCCACTGTGACCACTCTGTTACGCCTCCATCAACTGCACAAAACCAAAAGCATTCAAGAGAGGAATTGACTGACATGATATGTCACCTTTCCACATTATGACCGTTCCTCTCCCATGCTCTGAGCCTTACACGGAGTTTTCATACCTCTCCGATTCTCATAAGCACTCAGGTTTTAATGAATGATTTCGTGAGTGGCAGGTCCCCTCGGTAGAGCAGGACACGTTGTATCATGACAGAGTTTCATGCATCATTTTATATCAGTGTCATCATTTTCTTCTTTTACACTCTTCTAAATCCCTTTAGGCACACATTCAAGACTCATTTGGTCTCTTGCAGTGGCGTTTGAAGTTCTCTCTTAATGTCTACAAATAGTTTGATTGATCCAATTTCAGAACTTTAGTACGACATTCACATCTGTAGCATTTTGTTTTGGTCTGGGATAATAATGTCAATATCATGCATGACTTGGTTTCTGTTGTACTTCCTTCTCATGGTAGGCCGCCGAAAGCAGGACAAAGGTTAGTGCTCTGCCAGTCCTTTATAAAGTTATTCCCATAGATAGCAATAAGGGCCAAAAGGATGATTTTCCATGGCATACAGAATCGGTTCTGCTTATATCTGTAACATAGACCTTTCATGTTTCAAAGTTTAATTATTGTATAGACCCCTTTCAAGAAGGTACGTGACGTGAATCCACGATCTAAACTAAATACTCAGTATGAAATAACAGTATACACAAACCAGGACAGTTTTGTTGGGTACAGTTGAGGACTTCGACAGCAAGCAGCTGTTGTGTACAGTTCCTTCCGCAAAATGCAGGTGCTGGGTTGGTGCATGTCCTGAATCTGGACCTCTTCCTCACTCCTGGTCCGCAGCTTGTTGAACAGGAAGTGTTAACCCACTGTGACCACTCTGTTACGCCTCCATCAACTGCACAAAACCAAAAGCATTCAAGAGAGGAATTGACTGACATGATATGTCACCTTTCCACATTATGACCGTTCCTCTCCCATGCTCTGAGCCTTACACGAAGTTTTCATACCTCTCCGATTCTCATAAGCACTCAGGTTTTAATGAATGATTTCGTGAGTGGCAGGTCCCCTCGGTAGAGCAGGACACGTTGTATCATGACAGAGTTTCATGCATCATTTTATATCAGTGTCATCATTTTCTTCTTTTACACTCTCCTAAATCCCTTTAGGCACACATTCAAGACTCATTTGGTCTCTTGCAGTGGCGTTTGAAGTTCTCTCTTAATGTCTACAAATAGTTTGATTGATCCAATTTCAGACCTTTAGTACGACATTCACATCTGTAGTATTTTGTTTTGGTCTGGGATAATAATGTCAATATCATGCATGACTTGGTTTCTGTTGTACTTCCTTCTCATGGTAGGCCGCCGAAAGCAGGACAAAGGTTAGTGCTCTGCCAGTCCTTTATAAAGTTGTTCCCATAGAGAGCAATAAGGGCCAAAAGGATGATTTTCCATGGCATACAGAATCGGTTCTGCTTATATCTGTAACATAGACCTTTCATGTTTCAAAGTTTAATTATTGTATGGACCCCTTTCAAGAAGGTACGTGACGTGAATCCACGACCTAAACTAAATACTCAGTATGAAATAACAGTATACACAAACCAGGACAGTTTTGTTGGGTACAGTTGAGGACTTCGACAGCAAGCAGCTGTTGTGTACAGTTCCTTCCGCCAAATGCAGGTGCTGGGTTGGTGCATGTCCTGAATCTGGACATCTTCCTCACTCCTGGTCCGCAGCTTGTTGAACAGGAAGTGTTAACCCACTGTGACCACTCTGTTACGCCTCCATCAACTGCACAAAACCAAAAGCATTCAAAAGAGGAATTGACTGACATGATATGTCACCTTTCCACATTATGACCGTTCCTCTCCCATGCTCTGAGCCTTACACGGAGTTTTCATACCTCTCCGATTCTCATAAGCACTCAGGTTTTAATGAATGATTTCGTGAGTGGCAGGTCCCCTCGGTAGAGCAGGACACGTTGTATCATGACAGAGTTTCATGCATCATTTTATATCAGTGTCATCATTTTCTTCTTTTACACTCTTCTAAATCCCTTTAGGCACACATTCAAGACTCATTTGGTCTCTTGCAGTGGCGTTTGAAGTTCTCTCTTAATGTCTACAAATAGTTTGATTGATCCAATTTCAGACCTTTAGTACGACATTCACATCTGTAGTATTTTGTTTTGGTCTGGGATAATAATGTCAATATCATGCATGACTTGGTTTCTGTTGTACTTCCTTCTCATGGTAGGCCGCCGAAAGCAGGACAAAGGTTAGTGCTCTGCCAGTCCTTTACAATGTTATTCCCATAGATAGCAATACGGGCCAACGGATGATTTTCCATGGCATACAGAATCGGTTCTGCTTATATCTGTAACATAGACCTTTCATGTTTCAAAGTTTAATTATTGTATAGACCCCTTTCAAGAAGGTACGTGACGTGAATCCACGACCTAAACTAAATACTCAGTATGAAATAACAGTATACACAAACCAGGACAGTTTTGTTGGGTACAGTTGAGGACTTCGACAGCAAGCAGCTGTTGTGTACAGTTCCTTCCGCCAAATGCAGGTGCTGGGTTGGTGCATGTCCTGAATCTGGACATCTTCCTCACTCCTGGTCCGCAGCTTGTTGAACAGGAAGTGTTAACCCACTGTGACCACTCTGTTACGCCTCCATCAACTGCACAAAACCAAAAGCATTCAAGAGAGGAATTGACTGACATGATATGTCACCTTTCCACATTATGACCGTTCCTCTCCCATGCTCTGAGCCTTACACGGAGTTTTCATACCTCTCCGATTCTCATAAGCACTCAGGTTTTAATGAATGATTTCGTGAGTGGCAGGTCCCCTCGGTAGAACAGGACACGTTGTATCATGACAGAGTTTCATGCATCATTTTATATCAGTGTCATCATTTTCTTCTTTTACACTCTTCTAAATCCCTTTAGGCACACATTCAAGACTCATTTGGTCTCTTGCAGTGGCGTTTGAAGTTCTCTCTTAATGTCTACGAATATTTTGATTGATCCAATTTCAGACCTTTAGTACGACATTCACATCTGTAGTATTTTGTTTTGGTCTGGGATAATAATGTCAATATCATGCATGACTTGGTTTCTGTTGTACTTCCTTCTCATGGTAGGCCGCCGAAAGCAGGACAAAGGTTAGTGCTCTGCCAGTCCTTTATAAAGTTGTTCCCATAGAGAGCAATACGGGCCAAAAGGATGATTTTCCATGGCATACAGAATCGGTTCTGCTTATATCTGTAACATAGACCTTTCATGTTTCAAAGTTTAATTATTGTATGGACCCCTTTCAAGAAGGTACGTGACGTGAATCCACGACCTAAACTAAATACTCAGTATGAAATAACAGTATACACAAACCAGGACAGTTTTGTTGGGTACAGTTGAGGACTTCGACAGCAAGCAGCTGTTGTGTACAGTTCCTTCCGCCAAATGCAGGTGCTGGGTTGGTGCATGTCCTGAATCTGGACATCTTCCTCACTCCTGGTCCGCAGCTTGTTGAACAGGAAGTGTTAACCTGTGACCACTCTGTTACGCCTCCATCAACTGCACAAAACCAAAAGTATTCAAAAGAGGAATTGACTGACATGATATGTCACCTTTCCACATTATGACCGTTCCTCTCCCATGCTCTGAGCCTTACACACGGAGTTTTCATACCTCTCCGATTCTCATAAGCTACCCCAACCTCATTTTCAGCACTCAGGTTTTAATGAATGATTTCGTGAGTGGCAGGTCCCCTCGGTAGAGCAGGACACGTTGTATCATGACAGAGTTTCATGCATCATTTTATATCAGTGTCATCATTTTCTTCTTTTACACTCTTCTAAATCCCTTTAGGCACACATTCAAGACTCATTTGGTCTCTTGCAGTGGCGTTTGAAGTTCTCTCTTAATGTCTACAAATAGTTTGATTGATCCAATTTCAGACCTTTAGTACGACATTCACATCTGTAGTATTTTGTTTTGGTCTGGGATAATAATGTCAATATCATGCATGACTTGGTTTCTGTTGTACTTCCTTCTCATGGTAGGCCGCCGAAAGCAGGACAAAGGTTAGTGCTCTGCCAGTCCTTTATAATGTTATTCCCATAGATAGCAATAAGGGCCAAACGGATGATTTTCCATGGCATACAGAATCGGTTCTGCTTATATCTGTAACATAGACCTTTCATGTTTCAAAGTTTAATTATTGTATAGACCCCTTTCAAGAAGGTACGTGACGTGAATCCACGATCTTAACTAAATACTCAGTATGAAATAACAGTATACACAAACCAGGACAGTTTTGTTGGGTACAGTTGAGGACTTTGACAGCAAGCAACTGTTGTGTACAGTTCCTTCCGCCAAATGCAGGTGCTGGGTTGGTGCATGTCCTGAATCCGGACCTCGTCCTCACTCCTGGTCCGCAGCTTGTTGAACAGGAAGTGTTAACCCACTGTGTCCATACTGTCACGTTACCGTCAACTGTAACATCTAAGACCGTGATGTCTTTTAAACAATACTAATGTCTTTACTTTAAACTTACCCTTATATTGACACACATTGCATTTATTCTTAACCTGTATGGCTTTACGCCGCTATTTAGCAATATTCCAGGACCAGTGCCTTAGAGACAAGCGTGTCAGCGAAGACAACAGCCGAATGCTGTATGTTCTAATGGGCTACCAGCAGCTGTACTGTTATCCATACCTAGGCTATCTATAGATCGATGTGAAAATGTAAGTGAAATTACTACCAAATTTTGACAAATCAGAATGAAGAGTTCAAATGTGTCACAGTAGAATGTACAGTGTGGCATCATTTAGTGTGAGCTGTAGTAACAAGTCACCTACCTGTCTGACATGTATCCCCTGTGTATCCATTGATACATTTACATATGGCTGGAGGTGTGCTTGTGTCACATGTACCGCCATTCTTGCATTCCGTTCCACCGTCTGTACATATGTCTGCTGCAGATGCTGAAAAAATAATTAGGCTGAAAATTCCTCTCATTTTGAATCTGCGTTTGAACTTCTTCTTACTTTTCTAATTTGTCGGATACACACATGTAAGAAGTGATGACAAGTCATCAGACTTAATACCGCTTACATTTCAGCATGTAACCGGTTATGTGTTAAAGCAGCATAAGCGCCTCTGGGTGAATATTTTTAACAATAAATCTTGAACATCTTGAGACCACGTCATAAATACAGAGACCAATTTAAATCAACCTGATATACATTCTTTTTAAAAATGCAATTACTTGAAAGATATGAATATGTACTTACCAACGACAATCAATGAAACTGTAAAGCAGATTTATGTTCGGTATAAATGACTTTGAAATCTGAAGTTAAGATTATTCAGAATCTGTGATCATGCATTAGATGTGAAATATGTTAGGGTCATACACCAAACAGAGGAGTAGGATGGAGGCGTTTACAAAACATAACTTTAGTTCGTACGTTACAGTTATTATAAAACAATGTGTGCCACTTACGAACTAAAAGTCGAAAGAGAGACAATTTCAGCATGGTGCGAGGTTTATGGTTTCCTCCCGGTGAGTTGAGTCAAACACAAACAACTCGGAGCGTCATTAGCTTTTATATGGTTACCATGTTATTTTACTCTGTTACCACTAGTGCAGAAACTGTTGATAAGGACACGACTCACTTTAAAAATATCTAATCTGGCTTCAAGTACATTCGTGACATACAGTTACAGTGCAGGCTAGCTATTCTCGAAATGTTCGTAGCCCTACGAACTTCTTAAGCCCATTCTTAAGACATTGGCTACGGTCAAAGTTAAGAATTCTTAGGGCTACGAACGTTTCGAGAATAAGGGCCCTGATGAATAAGTCAAACAAATGTTTGTATCAGATGAAACTGAAAACCTGGGTGTACGATCCAGTGCAAGCCATACCGATCTCAATATACCCATTTCTTACATTGAATATTGAAGGACATACGAGTGTGTAACTCATGTTTTTGGTTGGAGATGATTTATGTTATTCAGTTAATCCATTCCACTGAACTACTCGCGTGAACTAGAAATATAAGAAAAGTAAAAAGTAGAAATATGAAAATTGATACAAGACACTGAATCAGGCGTTATATTGGCAACCGGAGATTAAAAATTCGGCGGCTCGTGTCCCATTATGGGTAGGATGGTCGAATCTCATTCATAGTGTCCCAGTAAATGAGGCATTACGTTCGTTCCGGCCCTAACAGGTCATTATGGCGTTAGTATGTGTGTTGTCAGATGTCTACAAAACACTGACACACTGATACAAACCAGGGCATGAATGCAGTTTACCAGACACGTCATTTTGGAATCGTTTTTTGTTTGATTGCACGTACTTCTTCCTCAGTAACGATGATGTCTAAGCCTCCTACATGAAAACTGTCATGGCCTGCCTTTAGAGACTCCAAATCGCAGATGACTAGAACCTAAGCTATAGGATGTGATACTTGCAAACTTTCTATGCAATGAATGTTTCCTTCCTTCATTCCTTCCTTCCTTTCACAACTGAATGTTTGTATTATTAAGTGAAGAAAAGGACCCGTATTTATAGATTATTCTAACCCAGGGATTTGGAAAATTTTCAGGAGTATTTTTTTACATACATAAGGGGAGGTTACTCTTGTTACTCACAGCTATTGTGTGTTATATAGGCCTCTTAAGGCCCAGGGGCGGTGGGGTAGCCTAGTGGGTAAAGCGTTGGCTCGTCACGCCGAAGACCCGGGTTCGAATCCCCACTTGGGTACATTGTGTGAAGTCCATTTCTGGTGTCCCCCGCCGTGATGTTGCTGGAATATTGCTAAAAGCGGCGTAAAACTAAACTCAGTCAGCCAGTCTTAAGGCCCAAGGTCGCCTTAAAACCTTATCTACCTACCTACCTAGCTATTGTGTGGAGTCATTTGTACCCGGGGTACACAGCCTGTGCCTATTCTTGGAAGGCCAATATTACCATCATTGTCACTTTTTTGCTATAATCACTGCTCTTGTATCATACTGCTTGTGAATTTGTCCTGTCACTGTAATACCCATATAATGATGTGTATTAACTTAAGAATACAATTGTTAATTATATTAAACTGCTTCGTGTTTTGTTGATTTCATACCGAGTTTTGTTGGGACTGATTTTAACTACTACATTAGTTTTAGTCTGGGAATTAACAACTGACATCATAAAAGACAAGAAAACAGTCGTATTCATTACTATTTTCCATGTACAGATGTTGTCACAAATCTGTTGCTGAGATGACGTAACCTTATTTGTGTGCAATCATGGCGTGACGTCACCCGCGGCAACCCCAGAGCTTGGTCAATCTGCAATCCCTCCTATCTGTTGCACACGGGTATTCTGACTTACCACTTCAGTCTATAGCTTGTCTAACTGCTGCAACATATTGTCCTGGATTAAAGCTCTTGCAACAATTATTACAGCTTCAAGTAATGTGGGGCAAGTTTCTTATTTTCTTGAGTATATGTCAACCGTTCTAAATTTGATCAATGTTAAAGGTGTACACAAGTTCTGCTGAAATCGTGACGACTAAATCTTCTTAGGGTACATATATAAATAAGACTATACAAATAAGAAAAACCGAATCCAGGTAAAATGTTAGAGATTTATTATTCTTTCCTCTAAGCAAATGAAGAAGCTGCAAAATAGATTACATCATTATATTTAAAGTCACTGTCACATCTAAAAAACATTTCTTTTCTGAGAAAGAAAAACCGCTATTGATTTAAACCCACGACCATTGTATCACTGCACGACTTAGAGATATAACACACCTCAACAGAAAAATGCGACCTCCAGGTGACTGTTTATGTCAGTAAGTTTCTGTTGTTATGAGGCAATGGTAAACATTCTGTTGATATTATAAATCACTGCCAGCAACAAGTGGTGTGATAAAAACATGTGAGAATGAAGTATGATATAACATAATTCAAATGTATGTTTTTCTCTCGAAGGGACAAAGTGTTTACCTTTCTCAATATATGTATCAAGATGTCCACCAACAGTCTTTCATGTCAAAATATATTATTGTTCCTCCTTGATCACTAACAAAAATACTTCACATCATAATTCAGAGGTGGCAAAGTCTCAAACGCCTTCTTTAGTAGTAATTACTGCGTTTCATCGAATCTGTTTTCTGATGGCTCCCCACACATACAACACCCATACCCTCCCTCCGCGTAGAAGAAAGGTATTGCTTTTATCAATGAATAATAGCAATAAGGTATTCATACATCCGTTCTAATTTCATATGGAATAAAGGCATAGCTGCACTCGTCAAAAACTGTCCTGATCCAGGACCTAGGAAGGACCTATTGTTATCTCTCTGACTCGGATGTACACGTAGCATTGTTTTGTCACGAGGTATTTAAAGCATCCCTAACACTTAAAGAGACAGTAACAAAGTCGACCTTTTAAACATGATAGCTTGTTTTTGAGAATGGCGAGGCGACAAAACGTCATGAGATAACGCAAAAAACACCGGGAACCCATAGAGTGGTGACTAATCAATAGAGGTGAGGTGAGGTGAAATTGGGTTTTACGTCGTGCTTGAGAATATTTCGCTCATATGACGACGTGCGGCTGCTTGTACTAGCCCAGGTTTTATAGTGCTAGCCCACTGAGATACCATGCCGCAGTGAAGCATGAATACCCCACTCAGACACAGTATACTGACTCCGAGCCGACCAGTCCTTGTTGTACCCATTAATGCCGAGCGCCCGGCAGGGACCAACAAGTACCATATTTTAACGTCTTTTGGTATGACGCGGTCGGGGATCGAACCCGCGACCTTCCGCTCTCCGTGCGGACGCTCTAACCACTACACCACGGAAGAGGTCATCAACAGAGAGATGACGAGACGGTCTCAATGTTTCCAGTAATTTTCCGATCAAAAGAGCATGTGTTCATGGCCTGATAAAACTTTTGACGAATCAAAGTCATGTATTGAGACATGTGACGAGGAAGATCAGACTCGTACACCTTAAAAAGATACATTAAACACCAACAGAGTAGTGCGGGCTTTTACAATGACCGAGGCCAATTGCTGTCACCCAGTTTTCCACTCTGGTTGTGTGGTAGCTGTAGTTGGAGAGACGGAGTGAGGCGAAGCACATTTATCTGAGTATAGAACTTTGTGTTGAGTTAATTATTGTATGAATGTGCGAAATTGTATGAATGTGATATAGATCGTTAGGAGTCACGGTCGTCCGACTCCTCACTCCTAGACTGAGCAACCATCTTCGGACCAGGTCAGTGACGAATCACGGCTCACACCTACCCTGACCACGCGGAAAGGCAATAAGAGTCGGTGACTGTAGTAGAGTCAGCTGACATCCCTTACATAGTTACGACAGTAACATGGCAAAGTTTCATCACTGACACCAGAAATTTCACTGACACTTGGCGATTAACTATAGACTATAAGTGAATGTAGTTTCGTCACATTTAGATCATCCTCGGTTATCTAGGGTTTTCCTGACATTCTAGGATCACACTTTCCCCTCGTATTATTTCGTACACGACGAATACCAGTCACATCAAAGTATAATCATGCGCAGGGAAATATTATGAGCAGAATTGGATCTGGCTACTTCCACACGAAGCTCAGGTAGAATGGTCCGAGGAGTCAAGCAATAAAAGAGTGGTTGACAGCATGGACAGCAACGATACACGACATGATGGCATGTTGACTTACAATCAGCAAACTCACACAAAATAACCACCTGATACCCATACAAAATGCATAGGATACTAAAGATCGCATCTGCCTGGAATTGATATCAGGGTGACATATATATTAAATCAGACATGCATTACACAGAATCAGGTGCATATGCATTTATGAAAATATTTGTTAGGTTGATATAAGTCTCCTTGGAGAACTAATCATATTTTTAACAACCATCGGGAGGAACCATGATAGAAATCAGAAAATGTATATCTTCGCGCTCAAAACTGTTTCATCTGTATGATGGTGGCCTGTAAATAATCGTGTCTGGACCAAACAATCTCGTGATTGACATCATGGGCTTCGATTAACGCAATAGTCCTATGTATACAATGATAGGCATCAGACACGACAGCGGGGAGGCTCATATTCCCGCGTGACAAGCATGGTTCGCTAAAGACAATTTCAAGCTGGATCTTCAAGCAGAATGTATTGAATGTTAGTTACTGATAATTACCACATCATATCATGTTTGTATACACACACGCACGCGCGCACGCACGCACGCACGCGAACACAAATAATGTCGCTCCATACCAGATCTAAAACTTAAATCAAATCAGACAAACATGACGTAATTGTGAAACAATCCAAGGCAAGGAACATATATTTCGTGGCTATGCCAATCAACAGAGAATAGCATGGAGTGTCATTCCATCCTGATTTCCCACAGATTTGGACGAACACACACACAAAATTAGACATGTACTTGAGGCAGAATGTGACAAAACCCTTTCCTTGGAGAAAAGAATATCCGAGAGCCTTTCACTTTGGGCGAAAGAAACATTTGTAGACTTTACTTGATTA